CCTGGTTAATGGTAGCCCGTGTGGTTTCTTTGGTAGCTCCAGGGGTCTCAGGCAAGGTGACCCCCTATCCCCCATGTTATTCATTCTATTGATGGATGCTCTGAACAAAGTGATGGATCGTGCGGCGGGCAGAGGTTTCTTGAGAGGATTCTCAGCTCCGATTGGGGTGCTCAGTGCCCGAAGAGTCTCACATTTGCTTTTTGCGGATGACACACTGGTTTTCTGTGATACCAATATGGATCAGTTGACCTACCTGAAGCAGGTCCTGTAGTGGTTTCAGTTAGTATCAGGACTCAAAATCAACATCGGCAAGTGTGAGATTTTCCCGGTAGGTGAGGTTACTAATATTGATGCCTTGTCTTGTGTTTTCAGATGCAAGGTGGGCTCCCTTCCCACTACTTACCTGGGCCTCCCTTTGGGCGCTTCATATAAGGATACTACGGTTGGGAATCCAGTGATCGAGCGGGTTGAAAAAAGATTAGCAGGGTGGCAGAAACGGTATTTGTCAAAATGAGGTAAGGAAGTGCTTATCAAAAGCACTTTATCGAGTATGCCCACCTATTACTTATCCTTGTTGTAAGCACCGGTGAGCATCACAGAAAAACTGTAGCGACTTCAAAGGAACTTTCTGCGGGATGCGGCGGATGGAACTAGAAAGTTTCATCTAGTGAATTGGCAGACAGTCACTTTCCCAAAGAAGTGGGGTGGACTTGGAGTGAAAGATCTTAGGGTATTTAACAGAGCTTTAATGGGAAAGTGGCTGTGGAGATTCGGGGTAAAAGAGCATGCTCTATGGAGTAAGGTCATAGTAAAAAAGTACGATTCAACGGGAGGGGGTTGGAGGACCAAGGCGATCACAACACCTTTCGGGTGTGGCATGTGGAGGAGCATCATGAAGAATTGGGAAGCATTCAGTGGCAACATCACTTACAGGGTGGGAGATGGAAGGAGAATCAACTTTTGGAATCATAGGTGGTGTGGAGAGGATACTCTAAGGGTCTCCTTCCCCCACGTCTTCAGAGTTTCAAACCAGAAGAAACTGATGGTCCAACAGATTCGTAAGGAGCATGAAGGGGGTTAGTATGGGACCTCTCATTCAGAAGGAACATGCAAGATTGGGAGATTGCGGAGCTCCAAGATTTGTTGGCACTGCTATACGGGCAAGACAGGCTCCAGCCATCCTACGACTCTTGGTGATGGGGCTTGCGTGGCGATGTTTGTTCACCGTAAAGTCCTTTTACCAGAGTATGTTGGTTAGAGAGGAGACCACTTTTCCATACTCCTCGATATGGATTCCTAGGGCGCCCACGAAGGTGCTTTTTTGCATGGCTAGCGGCGAGGGGAGTGATCTTGATTGCTGAAAATCTCCGAAAGAGAGTAATTACACTTGTTAGTTGGTGCTACATGTGTAAAAGCTCAGGGGAAGAAGTTGATCACCTTTTGTTGCATTGCCCTGTGTCCTCTGCTTTGTGGAGGGCAATCCTGAATCTTTTTGGTGTTCAATGGGTGATGCCAAGCACTGTAAAATAAATGTTATATAGCTGGGACGGTTTTCGTAGAAGAAGAAAGCAAAAGGCGTGGAAGTTCGCCCCGTTAGCTCTCATGTGGGTAGTATGGGGGGAGAGAAATAGGAGAGCTTTTGAGGAGATTGAGTCTCCTTTTTCACATCTTAAGAATAGTCTTTTATCTTTGATCACTTTTTGGTGCACTCATTTAGCTAGCCCCTACTTGTATAGAAGATTGGGCGACTTTTGTAGAGAATCATATTGTGATTTAAATTTTCTACGTCTTTGGTATACTTCGTGTATACGGGAGTTCTCTCCCTTTTGATTAATACAATTTACCTTATAAAAAAAAAAGGTTGATGACATGGCATTTTCTTCTCTTTGGCTCAACCTTTGGGATGACCATTAATGTGGTACTTCACAAAGCAAAGAGGAAGGGGAGAGTTGAGTTCTGAAATGTGTTGAAAGCCGGAATCGTGCATAAAAAGTTAAAAACTGAGAAATAGAGAACCCTCCGGAGTCCGGTCTATATGGCTTTAGCAGGCTGTTTTTCAACCTCGGCTGAATATATCATTGTGCGCTTCAGAAATCTGTTTAGGTTCTGATTGGTGGAGAGACAGGAAAAGGCTAGGACAACACAGTAGTTTTGCTTATGAAATGGCACTCTTGGTGGACCTGTCTCCTTTCTTGGACAGCAGATGTAAGGATGTGAGATATTCCATAGAATTATCTGGGCAACTTCACTTTATACATGTCAGCCCTTGACATTGTTTTACCGGTCATTTGCTTAATTAGTAATTAGTAGGGGTGTCAAATAGGCGGGTTGGGCCGAATTTGGCTACTTAAAACAGGTTAAGTCACTGCACGAGTCATGACTCAACCCAACCAAAGTTTGCTTGGATCTTTGGGCTAAAAATTGGACCACAAACCAACCCCAGTTCAAACTCATTTTTTCATTTGCTTGTTTGTTTTTTAATAATTTGTTTAACTCCAAATCAAACGAGAAGCAACTTTTCTTTTCTTCAAAGAAGTGTGTGAAAGTGTAGAGAAAGAAATATACCTAACATGACCGAACCAACCAAAAATTTTATGCTATTTTTTGGTTGTGCCCAAATTGACCCATCTATGAATTTATTTTCAGCCTAGACGGGTTGGAAGGGTTACACTTATATGTGCGAAATTTGACTACCCTAGTAATAAGTAATGGTCTAGGAGTTACCGCGCCCACGCATAATGGAAGTTCATGTAAGCCTCATGGATTAAGATAGTAGTTCTATGTTTCTTACATAGAGTTGGATCGGGGAACATGTATATATTATCCAGGAATAGTTGAGAAAAGCTGTAGAGAAGTGTCAAAATAGGCTGCATGTGCCCTTTTGGTTAAATAAAATGGGATAGAACTTATTTGTAAAAAAAAAAGAAGTAAAATGGTATGTGTTAAAACTCTCTTTTAGGCAGCAGATAGTCAAACTAAAGAGAAAAGGGACATTTGATTTGGGGCAGAGGAAGTGCCATTCATGAGGTGGTATAGGAGTTGCCACTTGTTGTCAACTTGTCTAGGTGATTACAGTGCTCAAGTACTCTTTCTAGAAATTACTTTCTAGTTTGGACTTTGGATACGAGACTTCTATTGATTACTTTCCATCTAGTACCTTCCTTCTTATAAATACATCTAATTACAACTTCTCAACTTACTATTATTATTGTTGTTATATCATTTGACTTTTTATTTTCTTAAAAAAAACTATTCCACAAATCATCCTTACTGCATAGCAACCTTATAAATGCTTTCCCTTGATCTCCCTCTGACAGGTAAGGCTTTGACATGAATCCCTGCTTCATTATTGTTTTGGGGGACATCGTTACTTGTAGCTTCTTGTCTGACATGTCTCTTGTACACGGGAGTAACCCTTCTTTGTTCATATGAAACGAAAAAAACAAAGAAGAGGTGAAGTGAAGGAAGTCACATGATATAAATAGATATTTGTTCTTGTTTTCGCTTTTTCTCTCTTTACTTGTTTCCAAAATGAAGGGGTTATAGGATGTTAACATCATTTCACTAGATTCAGCTTACTATATAGAAGTTGTTCCCCCCCTTTTTCAACGTAAGAGATCCATTCTTTATTGTAACGAAAGAGTATATCATGAAATGAACTGGAACAATAATCTTAACTATTTTCACTTGATTAATCATTTATATGGTTCCCTTGCAAGTTGCCAATCCCAAATGAAGTTGGCATCTCAAAAAAGTGCTGCTTCAAGTACATAGAGATGCCCTTTTGCACCTACGCTATCCTGCTGCAAACATTGTGCATTGTGATCGCCTCATGCTAGTACTAATCAGGATATTATAATTTTAGTGATTTCAAGTAACTCTGCCTAGTTCAAACAAAAGATAAAAAAGGGAAAAAGTAAACCAGCCTAGTGAGGTGACAGAATATCCGACAGTACATTAAAGTTGAGAACGAGATGCCTCTGTGGGTCTTCTGAACCTTAGTTGATAGTTAATATGCTCTCACTATGCTCCATGGGAGTGCTTGCTATATCCGTCTTTTAGTGTTTAAAATGATATTTGCCTTCTGAGTAGCTATTTAGATGTGCATTTCACGGGAAGCATCTCATTCATGCTTCTCTTCAATATATGCAGATACTCTTATATTGTAGGTCGTCAATACCACCACAGCATCAATGGCCTGCTACTCAGAAGCTTTTCACTTTGGATGTAATTTACCTCCACGACAAGCCTGGACCTGACAACTGTCCTCAGAAGGTGTATGATGCCCTCGTGGAGGCCCTTGAACTTGTCAGCGAATATGAGGCTTACATATTTGAGAGTGGTCAGGGGCTTACTCGTGTCCTCTTCCGTCATATCTGCACACTTCTATCCCATCCTCAGCAACGTTGTTGTCAAGATGACATTGACATACCCAAGTCCCTTGCAAAGAAGTCACCTGTGGCTGATCCTGCACCAGTTGACGAAAATGCTGTTGTTTCCAGCCAATAATACAGAACACAAACATTTGAATCATCAGACTTTCGGGGAGCTGCTTATTATTCATCTTGTTTTCCTGTCTAGAATGCAGCCCCCATTTGTTGATAACACTTCAAAGTTAATTTTAGAGGTTTTAATGGATTGGTATAAACGTATCACTGTATCAGGAATGGTAAGCAGTATCTGCTTCCCTTATTTGCCTTTTGCATTTGCTGTGTACCTACATGTATGCCTTGGAATATTCTACCAGAGATGTTTATTTAGCATTCTAGGTTCTTAACTGAACATTATTTGGTTGCTAGTCGTGAAACTAAGGCGTCGATTGAAATTTCCTCATATCTCACAATGAAAAGAAGAAGCATTCAAGATAAAATTAACTGATAACATGTCTGAAGTATATAAAATTGAATAATCCATTCATTGGTCAAGCAATTTTTGAATATCAAATATAGAAAAAGAATTGTGATTAGGTCTTATCAATCAGCCTATGACAAAGTCCTCTCTCTTTGGATAGATTCATTGAGTCGCATCTCCAATTATGCTGCCTCTCCTGAAATCATCTTCATTTCCTAGCTTTAAAATAACTTTCAAAACTATCATTTATTTGATTTGGTGAGTAATAATTCAAAAGCTCAACTCAAAACAGCATAAACCGTGTCATATGTTAGCTTCAATCATGTGCAGCTTGTTCATAGCCTACTCATGCTTGGCTAATATTATATGCTCAAAAAATTTGAAAAGGAAAAAGGTGAATTCTTAAAGGATAAGTGCTGATAGAAGATTGAATTCCCAAATTATGTGCTGCCAAATCCCTTCCTTTAGTTTTTTATGCTGGTTACTCTGCTCCTTAATTATCCCTTTTCAGCTAGACCTTAGCATAGTTATTATTTGTGGATCATACTATAAAATTAAGACGATACAGAACTAACACACTCTTAATATAGGAGTATCTATTTTAATATGTCATGGGATATTCAATTAAGAATATTTATCCTTCTGAATAATATTAATACCTGTTTAGTTATTGATGAAGTTGAGGCATTGACTGGATCACTTTCTCTATATCTCAAGATAATTTTTTCTTGATAAGCTATCTGAAATGAAGACGACAATTATTATATTGCTGAGTTCATTGAGAAAATTGAACCAATCATAATCTATAGTCAAGCAAGTTTTTAATCTGATATAACTAGGAATTCTGCTTAGGCACTATGTTCGAAATGTCAAAGGTCCCCTCTTTTTGGATAGACTCATTGAGTCATATCCCCCATTATAATGCCTCTCTCCACGAATCACTATTCTTTGGTTCACCTTTAATTTCCAACTACAAATGATTTAATATGGAGCAAAATAATTCGCAATTTTTAATTGGAGTCGTCAACTCAAGGATAATAATCTCATTAGTTAGCTACTACTTATCAACTATGTGTGGGCAGCTTGTTCATAGCCTACTCATCCACGGCTGACGCTATTTGTTAATTAAGAAAAAATAGAAAAAGAATAATAGGAGGATTATAGAGACTGTAGTTTGGTTCAAGGGATGAGGTGGATTATCTCGATACAAATTTTGGAATTAAATTTATCCTGTATTTGGCTGGAGGTATTCGCTAAATCGATATTATTTTTATTGAAGGTGCGATAAGTTATACAGATTATAGTCCTGATTTTAATTCTAAGATCATAATCGTGGAATATCCTAATTTTGAACTAAACGACCCATATTGTTGGTAGAATTGGAATTTTGATCAGTTGCAGCTAACCATGATGTCAATGTACTGGGAAATCTAACAAGGAACAAAAAAGAGGAATGAGTTCCACTTCCATATGACAATATGCGTTTTGAATTGAGTTTTTGCTCTTATATTTTGACTTTGACTGTACAAGTTTAAAAATAAACCTTTCCTTTTATCTAATGGCATTGAAAATCCTAGCGAGAATATTTGAGATCTTGCGCATAATTCTTTTACGAAATTTGAATAATTTCTACATTTCGTTTGCCATTTTATATATTTGCAGGTTCTTACCGATCGATATCTCAATTTTAAACTAATTCATTTATCTCAAGTGTAATATCCTACCAAAGATGTTGTTCTAACATTCCAGGTTCTTAACTAAACATTATTTGGTTGATAGTCATGAAACTAAGGCGTCGACTGAAATTTCCTCATATCCCACAATGATAAGAAGAAGCATTCAGGATAAAACTAACTGATAACATATCTGAAGTGTATCGCGTATAAGGAAGTATATAAAATTGAATAAACCATTCATTTCAAGCAATATCAAATATAAAATTGTATAGGGCAAAATATGCTATGACACGTGGTCGTCCAAAAAAGGGACACGTGAAACCCAAGGCGGGGATGGCCAAAGACCGAAGGCAACTGTTTCGTTTGTCACCGGAAAGAATAACACTCATAAAGATGTGATAAATGCTCTTCGCCCGATAGCATTTAATAGAGAATATTTCATGACATTAAGAGCAATTACCCGTTACAGGGAATTTGACATTTATGTTCACCGTTACATCTTCATCAATGTCCCTCATAATTGACATTAAAGAAGGGCACGATCCTAGGACTTCTTTCATAGCTATAAATAGTGAGCTCAGTTGTCAATGTAAAGGACATGAGTTTTCTCACAAACATACGCTACATTCTATACAAAGCTCAATACAATCTTATCTTCTTACTTTTTGATTTCATTATTGTTGTGCCCGGAAACCCTGTTTCCGGAACTGTTGTTTCTGTTGTTTCGTCTATATCCTAAAGCTAAGTATTGCATAATTCTTCAATTTATTGTTTCAGGATCAAATTAATTCATTTGTCTAGAAACCACGTATAAATTTAACTGCACCGTTTTATAAGTAAATAATTTAGCGCCCACCGTGGGGCCTAGACAGTCGTGTAATTAAATTGATCCTTGCCTATTTTACTAACGTGTTGATTATTTTGCCTTAGAAAAATTAATAAGAAATGGAAGATAACACTATTAATGACATGCACGACCCCAAGATTCGAGGGGATCAACCTTATTTTGAGGACTCAATCAGTGACACCCATAATGAGGGGAATGACGTTACACCGGTGCATGACATGCAATATCCTCGATATATTCGGGAGACCACACCTGATGATGCTGATGAGGAACATGTCGTTGACGCGGTAAGAGTCTTGCAAGAGCAACATGTGATTATTCTAGGCCACCTTACGCTACAGGATAAGGTCATGATGGAGTTAAAGCAGGCGCTGTCGGGAGCTTCAAATAATGCAAACAGATGAGATCCGGTTCCTCCTAGGATTCCCACGAATCAAACGATGCAGAGGGTCGACAACAATACTCCCAGGGGTGAAATTGGCTCCGATGGGGTAGGGGGAACAGATCTAGCCTCAACAACGAGAATGATCCTTTCAAGAATGAACTTTTACGGTTTATGAGGGAAGTGAACGCCCGCATGGACCAGATCTCAAGTGCGCCACCAGTGCTGAAAGGTCCATACTCGAAAAAATATACTCCATTGCCATATAAGCCAAGTACGGCACCAGAGTTAATCCCGAAGCGGTTCAAAATGCCTGAAGTGCCAAAGTATGATGGAACTTCAGACCTCCAGGAGCATATTACCACCTACACAACGACGGTAAAGGAAAATGTTTTAGCTCCTCACGAAATTGAATCTGTGTTGCTAAAGAAATTTGGAGAAACCCTCACGAGGGGAGCCTTGACGTGGTATTTGCTGTTACCCAAGCATTCCATAGACTCCTTTGAAATGCTCTCAGATTCTTTCATCAAGGCTTATGCCCGGGCTAGAAAAGTATAGTCCCGAAAGGCTGACATATTCAGGATTGCACAAGGAGAGTCCAAGTTGCTACGAGAGCTCGTTACCCGACTCCATAAGGAGAGAAAGTTGCTCCCGGCTGTCCCAGATGAATGGGCGGCTGAAGCATTCACCAAAGGATTGAATCTGAGGAGTTCAAACGCTTCCCAAAAATAGAAGGAAAGCCTATTCAAGTTTCAAGCAACGACGTGGGTGGATGTCCACAACCGGTATGAATAAAAAATAAGGATCAAAGAAGATCAGGTTGGTTTTCCATCGTCGACCAAAGGACAAGAAAAGAATAGAGAAAAATCAAAGGATGATTATGACGCGGACATACGAAGTTTGAGGGGCCGGTTTTTGCCCTACGAACTTACCGAAGGCCGCAACAGAGGTTCCCAGACAGCGGACAGGTTCACCGTTGACAAGAGGACTGATCGCGGTCTGAACAATTGATCGCTGCAGGATAAAGAAGTGTCAGGATCGCGGGATCCTTCTTACCCCAAGTTAACGAAATACAACTTCAAAATCAGTATAGTGGAGTTGGTGTCGGCCATGAGAAATATCAAAGAAGCACGGTTCCCGAAACCGATGAGATCTGATCCTAGCCAGAGGGATCCCAACTTGTGGTGTGAATACCACGGGACGAATGGCCACCGGACAGGGGACTGTCAACACCTCCGGGAAGAAGTGGAAACTTTATTGAAGAATGGTCACCTTAGAGAATTATTGAGTGACCGAGCTAAGAACAATTGTGATCGTAACCGGGACAATGCGGAGCCCTCGAAAGCAGGAGAAGATCCCCCGCGTCAAACAATCAACATGATCTTCAGAGGGAACGAGATTAACAGGGTCACCTTTTCAACATCAAAGAAGATGAAATATCAATAACGCATAGCAAGAGGTTTCGGGAAGACGATATCACTTTTACGGAGGAGGATGCAGACGGATTGCTACTACCACACAACAACACACTGGTAATTTCTTTAAATGTGCTAGATTTTAAGATTAAACGTGTTCTAGTGGATCCAGGAAGTTAGACTAAGATCATACAATTGAGAGTATTGGAGCAAGCTAAACTTATCGGAAGCATTATTCCGGCCACAAAGCTCCTCGCCGATTCAACCTCGCAAGTGTGACAACCCGGGGAGAAATTTTATTACTCACGAACGCTGAAGGAGTAATAAAATAACTCTTTTCGAAGTAGTAGATGGTGATATGGGATACAACATCGTTCTGGGAAGGCCATGGTTGCACGAGATGAAAGATGTACCATCAACGTATTATCAATTGTTGAAGTTTCCAACGCCCGAAGGAATTAAGCATTATTCCATCCACAAAGCTCCTCGCCGATTCAACCTCGCAAGTGTGACAACCCGGGGAGAAATTTTATTACTCACGAACGCTGAAGGAGTAATAAAATAACTCTTTTCGAAGTAGTAGATGGTGATATGGGATACAACATCGTTCTGGGAA